AGGGATAAGAGTTCAAATTCGAACAAATACAAGCAAACAGAAGATTACAAGTAAATGATGGAAAATGCAAAACGAACTTCACGCGTAGTATCTCTTGACAGCATCTGAGTTGATAGGCTTGGGCCATATAGCACCATCCATCTCTGACAAGACTAAAGCACCTCCACATAGTACTTTGCGAACCATGTAAGGACCTTGCCAGTTTGGTGCGAACTTTCCTTTGTATTCGTCTTGATGAGGAAAAATACGCTTAAGGACCAACTGACCAACTTCGAAATTTCTGGCTCTTACTCTTTTGTGAAAAGCGCGAGTCATTCTTTGTCTATACAACTGGCCATGACAGACGGCGACCATTCTCTTCTCATCAATCAAAGCTAGTTGATCAACCCGTTTGCTAACCCACTCCGCGTTGCTTAACTCAGCTTCTTGGATGATCCTCAATGATGGTATCTCGACTTCGACAGGTACGACTGCTTCTGTTCCATATACTAGAAGGTATGGAGTAGCCCCAGTCGATGTTCTGACCGTTGTTCGATAACCTAGTAGAGCATATGGCAACATTTCATGCCAACCTCGCTGCTTGTCGATCATTTTCCTTAGAATCTTTTTGATATTCTTATTGGCGGCCTCTACAGCTCCGTTCATTTGAGGGCGATAAGCAGTTGACCTTCGATGAATAATCTTGAATTGTTCACATATCTCTTTCATCAGATGACTGTTGAGATTTGCACCGTTATCAGTGATGATGGATTCTGGAACTCCAAATCGGCATATCAGATTGTTGCGGACAAAGTCGGCCACCACTTTCTTGGTTACCGACTTGTAAGAGGCTGCTTCCACCCACTTGGTGAAATAATCAATGGCAACCAAAATGAATCTGTGTCCATTAGAAGCGGCTGGCTCTATAGGACCGATGACATCCATTCCCCAGGCTACAAATGGCCAAGGTGAACTCATAGCATTAAGTTCGTGAGGTGGCACCCGTATCAGATCGCCGTGCACTTGACATTTGTGGCATTTTTGTACGAATTTGCAACAGTCGTTCTCCATAGTCATCCAGAAATAACCGGCTCGAAGAATCTTTCTTGCTAAAGTAAGCCCGTTCATGTGTGTACCACAAACTCCAGCATGTATCTGCTCAATAAGCCTCATAGCTTCAGCAGCATCTACACATCTTAAAAGACCCAGATCTGGAGTCCTCCTATACAGGACTTCTCCATTCAAAAAGAAATTGAGAGCCATACGACGTATCGATTTCTTTTGATTAGATGTAGCGTCTTCTGGATATGTCCCAGACTCTAAGTATCTCTTTAGGTCAAAATACCAAGGCAAACCATCTGGTTCTGATTCCACGTGTGAACAATGGACGGGATGCTCCTTCAAATCTATATCCAGAGGGTCAATATAATCAGCGTCCGGATGTTTGATCATTGAAGCGATGGTGGCAAGAGCATCAGCTAATTCATTCTGTATTCGGGGAGTATGTCTGAACTCGATCTTGTGAAACCTTTTACACAGGTTTTGCACATATTGTACATAAGGTACAATCTTCGGGTTCTTCACAGCCCATTCTCCTTGAACCTGGTGAATCAAGAGGTCTGAATCCCTAATAACCAGTAACTCGTAAACATTCATGTCAACGGTCATCTTCAAACCGAGAATGCAAGCTTCATACTCAGCCATGTTGTTTGTGCAGTTGAATCGTAGCTTAGCCGCCATAGGATAGTGCTGACCAGATTCTGATACCAGGACTGCTCCAACACCTTTACCCTGGTGATTCACCGCTCCATCAAAGAATAATCTCCAACCTGGATAAGCTTCAGAGATATCTTCACCCACAAAGGACACTTCTTCATCGTGGAAATATGTCTTGAGAGGTTCATACTCTTCATCAACGGGATTTTCCACAAGATGATCAGCCAAGGCTTGTGCCTTTATTGCCTTCTGAGTCACGTACACGATGTCAAACTCACTCAACAGCATTCGCCATTTAGCTAACTTCCCGATCGGCATCGCTTTCTGGAAAATATACTTCAATGGATCCATTCTGGAGATAAGATATGTAGTATACGACGACAAATAGTGCCTCAGCTTCTGGGCAAGCCACGTCAGAGCACAGCATGTTCTTTCCAGCAAAGTGTAGCGAGACTCGTACGGAGTAAATTTCTTGCTGATGTAGTAGATAGCCTTTTCCTTCTTCCCTGTCTCGTCGTGTTGACCAAGTACGCACCCAAAGGCGTTATCTTAGACAGACAAATACAGCAACAAAGGACTCCCTTCTCGCGGAGGAACCAATACTGGTGGGTTAGACAAGTAGCTCTTGATAGCGTCGAAAGCGGTCTGGCACTCCTCAGTCCACTTAGTTGGGGCATCTTTCTTCAGCAACTTGAAGATAGGCTTACATACCACTGTTGATTGTGCTATAAACCGGCTGATATAGTTTAACCTCCCCAAGAAACTCATCACCTCTTTTCTCGTCTTCGGCGGAGGTAACTCCTGAATTGCTTTAATCTTGGAAGGGTCGAGCTCAATACCTCTTCTGCTGACTATAAACCCCAACAACTTCCCAGCTGGGACTCCAAAAGCACATTTGGCGGGATTTAGCTTCAAGTTGTACCGACGCAAATGTTCAAAGAATTTCTTCAGGTGTGTCAAATGATCCGAACTCTCGCGGGATTTGATTATGACATCGTCCACGTACACTTCAATTTCCTTGTGAATCATGTCATGAAAGATGGTTGTCATGGCTCTCATGTAAGTAGCACCGGCGTTCTTGAGGCCGAACGGCATTACCCTGTAGTGATACACACCCCAAGGTGTGATGAATGTCGTTTTTTCTGCGTCTTCTTCATCCATCAAGATTTGGTGATAACCCGCGTAACAATCCACAAATGACTGCATCTCATGTTTGGCACAGTTGTCAATCAAAATATGGATATTTGGCAACGGAAAATTATCCTTCGGACTAGCCTTGTTGAGATCTCTGTAATCAACACAAATCCTGATTTTTCCATCTTTCTTGGCGACCGGAACGACATTCGCCAACCAGGTGGGATATTGCGTTACTTCTACCAACCGAGACTCTATCTGCTTGGTGATTTCCTCCTTAATCTTCAAGCTCAATTCAGGCTTGAATTTCCGAGTCTTTTGCTTCACCGGCTCGAACCCTGGGTTGATAGGCAGCTTATGAGATACGACATCAGTACTCAGCCCCTGCATGTCACTGACCTCCCAAACAAACACATCGCTGTATTCGGCAAGCAAATGAACCAGGCTCTCCTTCTGAGTTTCATTCAGGTGAGTGCTGATCTTAACCTCTTTGACACATTCTGAGTCTCCCAAATTTACCGTATCTGTTTCCTCCAGATTCGGTTTATGTTGATTCTCGAACTGTCAAAACTCTTCTACCACATAGTCTGGTTCCCCACTTTCTTCGTCGTAGTCGTCAGCCTCGTCGTCATTAGCCTCATTTTGCTCGTTTAGCTCATGACATGACATGACATTGGCAATTTTTGTAACTTACGTTACACAGAGTTTGGGGCATCAGGATCGGCGTGGACGTCCAATTTTGCAGCATCTCCCCTGGTTCAACATCACGAATGCCTGCTGGCTCAGCCTCCTCCTCGATGACGGAATTGTTCTCCTTGAAAAGGCCACAGATTTCTTTCCCGCCATCTTCGTCTATTTCTATCATGTTGGTGTTTCCACCCCCATGATTTGGCAACGGATTCGTGTTGACGTTCGGCGCCGCAGGCTGAAGGGAGACCACTTCCTGGTCAATCAGATCCTGGATCTTGTGCTTGAGGTTGATGTAGTCTTCAGTATCATGTCCAACACTGTTGGAATGATAAGCACATCTCTGCTCCGGTCTGTAGAATCTAGAGTTGACATCCACGAGCTTGGGCCCCACAGGGTGGATGTATCCGGCCGCAGACAATCTTTCAAACAACTTGGTTCTGCTTTTAGCCAACACGGTGAAGCTTCTGGAGGGCTTCTTCTCAAAATTGGGGCGAGGGGGATCATACCCGCTCTGTTGAGGGGGAGGGACTTTTTGGTAATTGCGGGCATTGGGTCGTGGGGCTTGGTAATTTGGATGGGGGCTTTGATATGCTGGGGTTCGTATTTGATACGCGGGGGACGGTGCTCGATAGCTTGGATGTATATTAGCGCAGCTGGGAGCGACATTCTGGTAATGGGAAGGGACTTGATAAGCTTGGGGGTAGTTTGGATATATGGAGGGAAAATTTTGGGGAATCGGGGGTGGATTCTGATACGACAAAATATGGGCATCTGGATAAGGGGGGCAGCATTGTAGTGGCCGGAATGATTTGATTGTGGATGGTAAGCTTGATGAGGCTTTGATGGAGGGTTGAAGCGGCCTTGGGGACGTGGTAAGTTTCTGGGGGCCTTTCTTCCCCTGTGTGAGATAGCGTTAACCTCCTCTCTTTTCTTCCTTACCAATCCGGAAGACCCAGGTGATGCAGACACTCGGGCTATCTTTCTCGACTTCAGGCCATCTTCGATAGTCTCACCTACTTTGACTATCTCAGCGAACTTGGCGCCGATTAATAAGATGACTCTGTCATAATACTCGGGCTCCTGCACCCGTATGAACACCTCTACAATCTCTTTCTCTGTCATCGGAGGCCTCACCCTCGCCGCCTCTTTCCTCCACCTGTACGCGAACTCTCGATAGCTTTCTGTGGGCTTCTGCTTCATCTTCTCCAAGGAGTACCGATCAGGGACTATCTCGACGTTGTATGTGAATCTGTCGATGAACTCCTTAGCCAGTGCGCTCCAACTGGGCCATTGCCGAGTCTCATGTGACGTGAACCATTCCAAGGCCTCACCGTACAGGCTCCGGCTGAACAACCTCATCAGCAGCGCTTCATCTTTGCCAACTCCCATGAGTTGGTCACAGTACGCTCTTAGGTGTGCCATGGGGTTGCCCACCCCTCCGAAGGTATCAAACTTCGAGATCTTGAACCCTTCAGGTAGGTTCAAGTCTGGGTGAATGCATAGTTCGCGTAGCTTAAACCGGCGACGTTTGGAGTGCATTGTAATTCTTTCATTGCCCTTTTGATCTCCTCCTTTATGTCTACCTTCGCTTCTTCCCTCGCCCTCCACTCTCTTTCTTGCTCCTCATAATGGTCCAACTCGGAGCCGTGCACCTCATGCTCGGCCGGGACAGGGACTTGGAAAGTGGTTCTTTTGGGAAGGGGTGGAGCTATGAAAGGGCTTGGGACGTTCTGTGCGGTTTGATAGTTTTGCGGATCATTTTGGGGATTGGTATTCTGGTTTAAGTGGGGATGCGGTGTTTGGGAATTGAGGGCGGTGGGATTTTGGGTTTGATTTTGGGGTAGTGGGGCTGTTTGAGTGTTGTGGGGATGTCGTGGCATTTGTGGAGGATTGTTTGGAAGTGGTGAGGGAGTTTGATAAGAGACTGAGGCGTATTGGGGGTTTTGGGTGGTTAGATCTATCCCGGACGGGTTGTGCACGGGTGTCGATGGACGGTGCTGAGTAGGATCCGAGTTGGGCGAGGGGAAGTATGTAGGCGGTCTCGCGTCGAGAAAGTTGGGGCCAAACCCGGGTGGAGGAGTGTCTTGCCTCCGTTGCATCTCTACCCTCATGTCAGCTATTTGCATCATCAGCTGCGCAATAAGCTCATTCTGCTCTGTCGCGGTGGGCTGAGCCACCACGACGTCTGTGAGGCTGATTTGTTCACTGTTATCTCCCATGTTTGTATTTGCGTTCGGTCCGGGGAAGGAATCTGCGAGACCTTTCGATCTAGTAAAGTAGTGGTGATCTGCCAGCTTTATCGATACAGATCAGTAATAGGTACCTGAAAGGTAAAAACAACTCAAAGGCAAATTTGTTAGCGCATATTTGAGTACAAAATACATAATATCGCACAGCAAACAGATTAAACACGCAAGTCGCTTTGTTTGAGGATATCTTAACCCACGAATAAGGACGGATATATATTTTGAACAAACAGGAATTTGTTTGTTTGGCGCTATCTTGGGAAATCTGAATCACGTTGAGCTATGATCTTCTTGCAGCTGCTTCGCAACGTCCGTTGATCTTATCTTCGTATCTCCGAAACATGGAGGAGAATGAAAATTTCCTGTGATAGGGGCCAGGCCGGGAAGGCTGCCTACGTATCTCACAAGGAGAATTCAGGCCCAACGTAGTTCGGATCTAAGACCTTAGGGCGGTATTTGTGATATGGGAAATGGTTTTTTTTTTGAGTGAGAAACTTGAGACTCGAAAATTTTGGTCGTACATTTGTAATAGTGGCTTCCGTACATTTTGGAATTTCTGGCTAGGAGTGGGTTTACAATATCCTCATTCTAAGCAACATGACACATAAGCATTTAAATACACATATATATCGAATGTCAAACAATATGATGCGTCGTGAGGTCGAAGACCTTAGACGCGATTTTGGCGATTTTTCTACTAAAATGGACTTAATACGCCTTGGGTATTAAGTCATCCTAGGCTGATGCCTAATTTTGGTTTTGGTTACGCTCTAACCTAGTTTGACTAAGAGTGGGTTGTATTTAAAGTGGAATGGGTAACGCAAGCGGACTACTTGAGCTGGGACAATTAACGATCGTTGACTATCAAGTAATCAACTACACTCGTCAGGGTGCCCCGAGAAGATTTTTGGTTAACGAACGACTGCGAACCCGCATAATCGTCCTTTAGTGGAAATGTAATAAGTGTCGTTTGACGGAAGTATGATATGTTATGCATGCAACAGTTAAAATCTGAATAATTTAAACACTTAAACAATAAATCACAAATAATCAAATACGTAATCTTAAGGTTAGAATCCTCCAATTCCCCAGCAGAGTCGCCATTTCTGTTTTATCGAAAAAAAATGATTTGCGAAAAGGAGCTTGTTTTATTTTCGACTTTAGGAGTCGCCACTTAATTTTTTAAGGAAAATTAAGAAAACTTATTTTCAAACAATTAAACAGAAAAATTGTGTTGAAAATATTTAAATGGGTTCGGGATTCATATTAGTGTCTTAGGAAGGTGTTGAAGGCACCTAAGACACTCCGTTAAATACGGTTTTCGAACGACTAACTATTTGACTATTTTTGTTTTAACTTTTGCAATTTTGAACTTATTTATTTTTATCTATGCAAGTTTGACAAATTCTGAAACACTTATTATTTTAAGATTCCATTAAAGTTAAAACCTTTTAAACTTAACTCTAAGCAACCTTCAAATTTAAACCCTTATTGTTTTAAAGTTTCAAATTTACGCTTTAATTTTGATAAAGTAAAAGGCGTTC